AGGGTAATGGGTATTGTTCGATAGAGCAAAGCAAGCTCTACAAGATGGCGTTCATAATCTTGCGCTAAGCTCGATCCACGGAATGTTCGAACTCAAAATCTGAAGATATCCAAATGCTCAAAAAATCGAAAAAAAATCAGGTCTTCGTCCAAATAATTTCTACGGATCTCCCACTCGCACACTTCAATACTTTCGATATATGATATCCATATGTGCAGTTGCTGTGTTTTTTCCTTGACTACAAACTGAAAAAACAAAAATTTTCGTGTTTTTCTAAAAGCAATGCTGAGCCGTTCTTGCATATATAATTCTATACTACAAGTTTAGGTAAGTATAACTATAAATTTTCAGCCTATTTCGAGCGGTAGTTTTCGAGAAATGTTGCTTTTAGCACTGAAACTGAAAAGAAGAAAGCTGATTTCGATATTTCTCAAAAACTACTGCTCGGAATGGGCTGAAAATCTGCAGTTATACTTACTTAGGCTTGTAGTATAGAATCACATATACAAGAACGGCTCAGCATTGCTTTTAGAAAAACATGAAAATTTTTGTTTTCTCAATTTGTAGTCAAGGAAAAAGTACAGCAACTGCACATATGTATATCATATATCGAAAGTATTGACGTGTGCGAGTGGGAGGTCAGTAGAAATTATTTGGACGAAGATCTGATTTTTTTTCGATTTTTTGGGCATTTGGATATCTTCAGATTTTGAGTTCGAACATTCCGTGGATCGAGCTTGGCGCAAGATTATGAACGCCATCTTGTAGAGCTTGCTTTGCTCCATGGAACAATACCCATTACCCTTTGTTGGGTTGAGTCTGGTTGCTCTGTTAAAGCAAGCAAATAAAAAACGACATTATTTTCTTGACAACCTAATATATAAGTCTGGAGCCAAAACTAAAATTTTTCAACTTGAAACCGGATCTTCTTACGGAAAATTTTTACGGACATTCATCTTGGTCATCATACAATAGACACATGGTAGTAACCGAAGATGCATTGCTGGATTTTTTCCAGAGACCAAAATGACGAAATAAAAATAGCCCGGTACAAAGAAATCAATCTTTTTTGTTTTCTTATGTTAAATTCATTTTCAATAGGCAGAACATATGCAGAGACATAACTTTAGGTTTTCCCTAGAAAGGAATCCAATTTTTTAGGATTATATTTACTAGAGGTTGTTGTAAACAATCACATGCGTGGGAGGAGCTGGTAGAGGGTAGACTCTGCCGATTCTAGACTATTTTTTTCTCGATTTCTATGCGCGGAAAAACCCAACGAATGCTTTTTTGATTAGTACTATGTGATATGATGATGTGTTTGCTGTGTGATGATCAAGTTGGAGGTCCGTTGTAATTTCCTAGATGGAGATCCAATTTTTCTAGATATATGAGGAATTTTGATTTTTAGCTTTGCATTTTACCTGCATTATGACTAAGTGGATATTTGGTGGTTTGGTGGACAATCTAATTTTGTAAATGATCAATGCTATAAAATATCTCGAGAACCTGGCTGAAAAAATTCGATTGTTGCCTAAGCGCAAGGTGATCATGTTGTGAATGTTCTTAAAAATTTTTGACAAATTTAGATACCCTTTTTTTCGAAAAGTCAAACCTTCACTCATTCCCTCCCCCCCCCCCTCTCGAAGAGGAATACTGCAACTACGACATCACAAAGATGTGACCGTCGTGGTCACTCCTTTCAAGTGCTTCACCTCTTGAAAGCTGTTCGCTGTGACGTCGTGTGCGTGCGAGCCCTAACACCACCTTAAACTAATCTCTTCTCCTCCTTTGGCGATGTCTGTTTGCATTTTCGATTCGTTTTTGATTTCGAGTCAAAGCTTCTACGCGTCTAAGCTCGGTCACCCCGCTAGCTTACCGTTTCGTACCAATTTTTCCTCCAAAAATCTCATTATATCGTCTCAATTTAATCATTTGTTTATATCAGGTAGTATCGAAAATAATGCCGCTTTTTTCAAATGAATGCCGCACTTCGTGGAAGAAAGATTTCTAAGAGGTTTTGGGATCACTGGATGTAGCACTTCCTCCTCTTTCTAGTGGTTATAATTTCGTTGAACAATATTCAGACCATGCTTTTTGGGATGGTTAGATTTCACAATTTTTCTAATTTTGTTATAAAGCTCGGAAGAAGTTTGAATGCATGGATAGACCAACCCTTACAGGAAACAGTAAGAATTTCTTTCTTTCCTTAGAATCCCGTCACAATTTTTTGATAAATTTTTCATTGGGACCATATTCTTTTGATAATTTATTTTCATTGGGACCATTTTTTAATGAGATTTTTTCATTGGATCGGATCTTAGCAGACTTGCCTCACCATCAGGCATAAACGTATCAAACACCGATAAGTGTTAGGAAGTCGAAACTTTCAGAGGTGAATTATGGTTCAACAGTAGTCTGAAGCAATTGAGCATTTACCGCTTCAAAATAACAACTTTCGAGATTTTCGGGTAAAGCCTGAGGCTTTTTCAAAGCGTTTTCTTTTTACCTGAGATTCGAAATATGAAATTTGTTGATTTTATCACGGAGACTTTATAGACGGAACAAAAAAAGAAAAGAGGGAAACAGAAGCATCGAATAACATCCGAGTTCTTGTCGGTTATTATTCTATGAGGCTTGAGCTTGCCAAATATGGAAGCTAGCAGCATCAGTTGCATGGATTGCTGCCAAAATCTCCCAGAAATCTTTAATCCCAGATGTGACATTGATTTGAAAAAAAAAGAAACTACTAAATTATGATTAATTACTAAATTGCTAAATTATTATATTATTATATCAATCAATAATATTTGCATAGCAGCGAAATTGTCTCCATTAATTTTTACCTTACCATTTTTCTATTTTTCCAGCTGATGTTACCAAATTTTTTGCCTTCAAGGAAAAGGGTAACCGAGCTACAGTAATTTGAAACCTCCTCTACCAATACTCCTTGAAGCGTCTAGCGTTGATTTTGCGCTGTGAAAAAACTCCCCTTTTTGTTCCAATAACAAACCCAGACTACAAGAGTTCCTCTTGCAATTTCTGTGCTCTTCAAATATTCAAACAAAGCGCTCTGACAAGCCAAAAAAGCGCTTGACCAGTCACCTCTATGTAAACATTCACAACAGGCCACCATTATTTGCTGCTGAAAGCAAGAGTGTATTTAAGCGTTGTCCAGGGTTTCCGTGGGGTTTCTTACCTGCGTGAAGTTGAGATTTTTTGAGATTCACGTATCTCCAATATACATCATAAACTGATTCTCCACTTTTAAAGCTTCTGAAGCTTGGTATTTGACCTTATATACCAATGTCAAGAATTCATTAAATTTTGCTTTATTAGAGTCAGAGTCGACTTTTTTTGCATTTTTCGCAGAAATTATAATTTTTGGCAGAAACGCTCGCTCAGCACAACTTTTCTCAGATAGAGCAGGTTATAAAACTCATAATAACAAATGGTCCAATTATTAGTGCACATTCTTGGAATCTCTGCACAGAATTATCATGATTTCATTATCTTCTTCAGCTTCTATCTTTGCAATGTTTGCATCTTATAGAGTCTTTCATATGCTATGTAAAGCACATGATTTCCATTCTTAGGATAAAACTATGGATAAATTTTTCTAAAAAATTAAGAAACTATGAATTTCTAAATATGGTGCAAAAGAACTTTCGGGCTTACCCAATAGTTCAGTCTACGTTCTCGCTCGTGGAAGATTCGAATTCTGATTTTAGAGAGTGAAAAACTTTGGTAATTTTTCTCACAATGTTCTCGTTGGTATAGTCAGAGAGAAAAATGTAAACAGCAGAAGAATGTCTAGTTATACTAGAATGTGAGGATACTCACTGCTCGAAGTGGCTCTACGAATGCCAACCAGACTTTACATTGCCCAAAGCCGATCTACCCTTATTATTTTGCTAAAATTCGTCGGCTTTTGTAGAACTCAAAACTTCTTCTCTTCACAAAAAAAGATCCTTCTGCACCAGCCTCTTCACATCCATAATTATGTGGTGCAAAATTCGTAACACCACTTTCAAAAAATTATTAACTTTATGTTATTGTTACTTAGTGGATTTACTTCTAGTAAATTCTTCGTACAAGGAAATCAAGCCGCAAACATCACAACTTTTCATGAAGACTTCTGATCAGCGCAAATTTTGTTCGCAAAAAAGGAGGTCACGATCTCTCGTTAACACATTCACGACAGGGCCGATTTTCCGATGACTGCCATTTCGGACCATAGCATTTTTCGCAAATTTGAGTTTGCGTGATATTTTCAGGTCATTGATGGGTCCTGCGGTTTGAGGTGTCAATCTTTTGGGAAGTACTCCAAGAGCTGTATACAGAAGTTTCTCGGTTTGCCTAAAAAGTTTCACCGTGAACTAGCAAAATCAAAAACTCCAGAAAGCATACGACCCACCGGTGGGTCGTATTGTCCGAAATGGCAGTACGCGTACGACCCACCGGTGGGTCGTATTGTCGTGAATGTGTTAAAGGCTGTTTTGGCTTTTGTTGTTATGTTTTCAGCTTGGTAAGCTTGTTTGAAATACCCGAAAGTGGAATGATCTTTTTTCTGCTTTTTTATGTCTGTAACCTGTTCAGAAGAGAGGACCTGATTGTAAGCTCTAACTTCAGGAACTGCAGAATTTTCTCAGTTAGCTGAAATATGAGCCAGCAGATTCGTTTAGAAGGAAGTTACCATTTTTCAGAATGGTGCGAGCGAACTTTCCGACGAAACCAATATGTAATTGTGAAATTTTTTGATAAAGTTACTTCACTTTATTTACTTCGTTTCAATCCTTCATTTGGCCTGAGTGAATCTGTTACTTTTACACTTTGCGATTACTTTTTAGTATTTCTGCAGAGCTCTCTCAAGACCTCTCGACTATCCCTATTTTCATGATGATTTTACGTTCGTTTTTATGTTTTCTTTTGTTAGACTCTATTGTTTGACTATTTCACAATGTTTCTGTTCATTCAAGACAATGAATTCATTCAGAAGCATGGCAAGAATCACCTGTCAAGTTCTTGCTACTCTGCTCCTGTATTTCTCTAGCTTCTGCTTTTCAACCAGTACAGACTGCTCGTCCAGTACTGGAAACTCAATACGAGCGAAACGAGGATGTCCAATGTCTCCCTATGCAACGTTTTTGACCGAGGACCAGCAGGTATTATACAACAAATGCAGTCCCCTTTTTTTGCAAAAATTGTGTTTTCTTCCAGGAAACTCTACACGAGCTTGTAACGGAAGCTCGACAGCAAGGAGCAGACGAGTATCAAGTAAAAGAACATATTGACGCTTACATAAGCAAAATATTGCCGCCGCAAAGGTAAATCAATATATTTTTATTTCTTTGATTATTTCTATTTTTACTATATTTTTATTTTTCTATTGATTTTGGAAGCAAAGGACATGCGCAAACTCGTGCGACAAAATCAATAATGCATGTGCGCTTGTAACGCGACTCATAGGCGTCACGGTCCCCGCCGCTCAATAAAATTGAAGTAATTGCTGACTTTAGGTATTCTGAATTTCAACAAGCCTATGAACGATTCGAGGCTGAACGACGAGGGAAACGGAGCGCCGAAGGTTCATCCGTTAGCTTCTATAAAAACATTTCCAAGCTTTTGTTTTTTTTACAGAGAAACAGCTTCCTAAGAAAGTCTATGATCTTGTCGATCAATACTCGGGATCATCGCTAGATATCGACTACAGCAAATTCTACAAGGATGACGTGCGAAGACTGCGGAACCTATGATTGTTGTTGCTGTTTTGTAAATATGAAACAATAAATACTTACTCTTATTATTCATACCGGCTCGATACTGAATAGACGGCATTCTACGCATGGGTAGGGCGTGACTGCGGACAGACGAGAGAGCACTGATTTGAGGAGAGACCAGACGATGATGCAGCGAAAGCGCAGTTGTCAGATCGAAGATCCGCTCTGCGCATTCAAAGGCAACATCTATCCAAAATTTATGCTTCTACGTTTTTGTCATTTTGGGGCCTTTCTGTGGCCCTGATCACAGTCATGAAGTGCAAAACGTTAGGAAGAACCAAAAAGCCCAATTTCTGGGAACTCTCTAATGTAAGGAGTGGACAACTTTCAATCCTCGGATAGGCGGAGCTTGATAGAGAGGCGTGGCTTGATAGTACTTTAGTGGGTTCCACGTCTATTTTTCCCATTCAGAGGCCACACTGGAGGACCGAACCAACACAGATATCCTCCTGGGGCATGCTTTTGAAGGCAGTGTCCGAGCAAAAAGTCGAATTGAGATTTTGTGCCCCGGGCCTATTCACTATGCTGAATCCGAAAATCCACACTGGAATGCGCAAAAAAGGCAAAAAAGGGCTCTAACACAGGAGTGAAATCAAAAGTGGGCGGGGTCCTCCCCACGGTGAATTTCGCATCCCAGCTTCTGGAGCGATCTTCCCAATTCATCTAGCGCTCCGAGATTTCACCGGCCAGGTGCGAATGCATGACTTGAAATCGGAACCGAGAAGATCGCTCTGGAAGCTGGGAATGTGAATTCACAGTGGGGAGGACCCCGCCCACCTGCTGATTTCCCTCCCGTGTTAGAGCCGTTTTTCGCCGTTTTCGCGCGAATGTGCATTTTCGGATTCAGCGTAGCGAATAGGCCCGGGTAAGTAAAAAATCTCAAGATCGAGTTTTTGCCCGGACACTGCCTTTAAGCAAGGTTCTAGTCGGGTTGCTTAGACTTTGCCTTTAGATTCAGTCCGCGCGCTTAGCAGACCTCTGCAAAGATGATCGTTAATGAAAAAAGAATAACGTATTTCAAATCTTTTGCCGAATTTGATTTTTCCCTTACGGCTTAATCTATCCAAGCTTTTGAGGCTTCTACCTCTATTTCATTTTTCTACAAGACAATAGATCATTATGGCCACTGCTCAGACAAATAGGTTTCCAAAAAGTGATGTGATGTTTGAATGATAAGATCTAAACCCAATGATAACAAACATGGTCCTATATAAGGCTGCGATCACGTTAGATTGCTCAGTTTGCTTTCCACGTCAGATGTAATCAGGTCTGCTGCCATCGTCATGGGACTATCAAGCCGATGCCTTATCTCCAGCTTCTTCAGGAAGACTACAGTATGCCATCATTCCGCAAGAAGAGCAAAAAGAGCAGATCGTCGCATGGAAGTCGCAAATCGAAGAAGAGGTCCAAGAGGTCGAGGAGGTCGAAGAGATCGAAGAGATCTCAACGAAGGCGAAGCAGAAGCCGGAGCAACACAGGATCACGGCCAAAGTCTTCTCGTAGGGGAAGAAGCCGAAGTCGTGGTGGACGAAGCCAAAGAAGCCGAAGTCGTGGTGGACGAAGCCATTCCAGGGGAAAGAGCCCACACCCGAAATCGCACAAAAGTGGGAGAAGAAGCAAAAGATCCGCATCCATGAGTGGAGCTCATACTGGAACTGGGACTGGGACTGGGACTGGGACTGGAACTGGCACTGGCACTGGTATGGGCACTGGTCCTGGCCCAGAGCAGAATGAGAAACAAATGGTGAAAACGGCCAAGTCGGGACCACGAGAAAGAGGAGGGAAGTCTAATCCCGAGTCAAAACCAAGGTCGAGTCGAGGAGCTGCCGGTGGTAGTGGTCCCAGAGAGCGCAAGAGTCGCAGTAAATCGAAATCAAGCAAAAAAGGGAGCAAAAAAAGCGGCCGCGGTAGTTTTCTGAGCTGCAGCAATAAGAGGAAGAAAAAGAGTAAGAAAAGCAAGAGAAGTAAGAAAAGTAAGAGAAGCAAGTCGTCGAGCAAGAGTGACAAAAGCCGAACGAAGAGCGGGAAATCGAAGCGAAGCAGGAGGAGCAAGAAAAGCAAGAGAAGCAAGAAGAGCAAGAGTGATAAGAGTCATAAGAGCAGAAAGAAAAGAAGCCTCAGAGAATCTCTCAGATCTTTGGGATCGTTTGGAAGAAGGAGAAAGTCGAAGAGTAAAAAGAAGTCGAAGAAGGGCAAACGTGGCACGTCAAGTTCGGTTAGCTCAACTCTCACGCCTGATACCCAGTATGAGGTGGGTAAGGCGCTTGGTCTACCACGCTTACCATGATCATTTCAGCCTGGTGTGATGACCTGCTCGTACTGGCCGAGAGTATCCGGAAAGAGACAAAGCGGTCGTCTGATCATCTTAATGCGCTCAGCCGAGCGTGTCGACCGCGTCTTTGGACCGGACTGGGCGGATACGGAAGCACCACATGGCTATGTACGCTTCTGGAACTTCCCTGGCTAATGTAAAGCTCATAAGCAAATGTTTCAGCTCACACCGACCGATCTCAACATCCCACACAACAATATGACCAAGAAGCTACTCTATGGAAAAGTATTCGTTGATAACCCACCGATAACCCCATTCGGTAGGTGTAGTTCATTCGCTAGGGTTTCAGGATATGGACAGGTTGTGATGAATGGAGATCTTCACACAAAACAAAGCACCCTCTTGCCGCAGTACACCTGCAGTTGATCGATAATCCGCGCGTCAAGCTGAGTCAGATGTTGACTGTGCCGCCCGGTGCAAGCGCCGTTCCAGCTCTGCTCCAGTCCCGTTCCAGCGCTGTTGCCGTGCTAGCGCCGCGACGAACTCATATGGGACGCACTACATGTTAATCAGTCAAACACACTCCATAAATGCGCTAACACGGCGCTGGAACGCCACTGGCACGCCACTGGCACGGGCAACTTTGCACGCAATCTCACGTTGGCCCAGAGACCTCTCCACTCAGCAACCTTAAGGAACAGCTATGGGACTTCTTTCAGGAAAATACTCTGCCCAACTGACAGCACGTGGAATTTGCAATCGTGGAGTTTCACCGCAGTTCATAGTTTGTACGCCAACTCTTCGCTCCATTCAAACTGCAGACGCAATGGCACGTTTCCTGAAAGCAGGCTTAGTGGTGAGCATGATTTCATTGATTGATATGGTAATTGCAGCAAATTTTGGGTTTTTCAGATAGAACCAGGTCTGCTTGAACCGCTTTCATGGTATCGTGCTGGAAGCGAGTCACTGCCTGATTTTAGTCTTGATCTTATCTGCAAGATGTATCCGATTGATACGAACTAGTGAGCTCGATCCTATCACATAAAGGCAATGGGGAAGGCACATCCCCTACCTTCAGACAGAAGCGATCCGAAGCCACGTCCCCTGACGCTACTTATCGTGTCGGGACGCGCAGCGGCCAATCCCGGCGCACTGCTACGGCGCGCGGTTATAGGCCACTGCTCTTCCCGACACGATGGGTACACACGGCGCGAAATTTGAATCTGTGCCTCCCGCAGTCAATGTCCTACAAAACTGTTGTCAACGCTAATCCAAACACATTTTAGCTCCCCTGTCATGACAATGGAAGCCATTCAAAAGCTTTACGACAGAGAAACTGAGCAAGAAGGACTAGCTCGCATCGATTTCGTGCTGCGCAGCCTATCTGGTGAACAACGGAAGCAACCACTGGTTGTGGTTGGACATGCCATCACAATGGCTGTTGCCCTTGCGATAGGTATACGGTAGCTATGCTAGAAGCACAGTAATAAGACAAAGTTCCTGCATTTCAGCAAGTTCTCAAGGAGATCAGAAAGGAAGATCGACTACGAGCGATTCGGGCACTCCTATCACTTCGTTCGAGTATCAGATGAGCATCGATACCCTGGGTAATGAAGTCATTGATCAAACGACTTTGGGTGTTAGGTAAGGGGCTCAATGGGAAGGACATCCATTACCAACGAATATTTCAGATTCCCACCAGGAAGTGTTGTCACACTAATTCAGAAGAATAAAGGACCACCATTCCTCTACCAGCTAGCTCCTAACATCGTCCCACCGCTGTCCTATGGTGAACTCTTCACCAACAAAGCTGTTGTGGCAACATAAAGACAACTGATTGCGAACATTCGTTCATAGACTAATTGTCGATGTTCACGGTGATAAATGTTCGTGGCCGTTCGTTTGCTTTGAACTGACTACTAGTTTCGTATAAATCGTGGTGATGTGATTTTTTGTTGACTGTGCTCTCAGAAACAAGGTTCTAACTGTGTAACAAGTATGTAACGTCATAAGTCTGCGCAAGTTCAACTTGCGCGGAAATTTCTCGAATGAAAGGGCATGGCTAGCCACATCTTTTGAAAATTTTTTGGTTTGTTTCCTAAACTTTTTGGGGGCTAATCGCCAAGATTCGAAGAAAAATTTTGTGCAGTTTTCTACAAAGCTAATTGCTTTCTGGAAAGTAAAAGAGAATTTTACACATTTTTCGCATATATCTGAAACTCATGTAGATCAATTTCAAGAATCAACATATTTTCAGGGGCGGGGCCGTTTCTTTCGCTCTGACGGCCACAGAAATCCTCAGTAAGCGGGACATTAAGTCTCTTCTTTCTCAAAAAATTTATAGTATGCAAATTTTTAAAGTAGAAGTGGTGAGTGAGGAGGAAGTAGCCCGCGAAACTTTTTTTTACAGGTCAATATACCATTTGAAAACTCATTTGAATGAAACAAAATGAAAAAAATGCTCAGAAAAAGACTTCTTCTATGAACTTGGTTTATTATTTGAAAACTTCAGAGCTTTCCCAAATCATCCATGAAAAAGAAGACTTGCCTGATTTTACAACTAAAATAGGCTACTTTCACAGCTGCCCATATTGGAATTCCTAACAAAGGAATGATACCAACATTAGTTGGCAATTGGGGATGAGATGTATACCATTAGATGCGCCTTTGAACGCTGATTTCAAATCTGTTTTTTTTTGCAGAATAAGTTTCCGAAAGAAGTTATGAGCGCTTGAATGTCCAGATTTGCCAAGCACTGAGTGGCTTAGAATCAGCGAAAAGCTCTAAAACAACACCCATGCCATTTCTACTGACTTTGTTCCTTCTAGACTCGATACAAAAAAGATTTCCCACTTTTTGGTGTTTTTGTATAGCTTTTCGCCAATTTTAGGACACCTAAATTTTAACAAATTTGGGCATTTGAACGCCCACAACTTCTTTCGGAAACTTATTCCGCAAAAAAGGAAAGCAGATTCGGAATCAGCGTTCAAAGGCGCGTCTACTGATATACATCTCATCTTTAATCGCCAACTAATGTTGGTATCCTTTCCTTGTAAGTAGAGATTCAGATCCTTCTCAAAATTTGCTCAGTGAGGACTGCATGTACTTTCAATTTCTTACTTCAAACTGAATTAGTGTAGCTACAAGCTTTGAAATAAGTTTATTTTCCGAAGTGTGAGCTTCGAACCTTCAGCAGCTAGGCTCTTGCATAGCGATGGAATTGATGCGTGAAAATTGTTGATAATTCTACATATAGGAGCGGAAGAGCATGTGCGCTTATCGCTTGAATCAGAAGCTTATTAAGGATGAAGTCTTCAAAGTATTATGCAGATCAGCTAAAGTTTTTGTACCGCATATTGACAACGACTAGCGGCCCTAAGGGCCGCTTGCAAGTATGCTAGGGTACATATAGTCATCACCACAATAACCTCTACGTTTTATACCTTTTTAGGGTTCTGGGCAACTGAAACCGAGTAATAAATGACTTTTGACTCTTCTGATTGTGAGAATCCTCTTTGCTGATTATTCGATACCTTTTGACTCTCTTCTAAAAATTTTCTTTGGGTCAAATGTTTGCACCAATCTCAACAGAGTCACCAAGCAGTCGACTCTCAAAGCGACAATGTAGTCTACACTCAGCTAAACACTCAGAAAGTACCTCAGTTCCCGAAAAATTCCGGCAGCGAAAACAAGCATTGTATTCTCATGCCTTATGCGTCGCCTATAAACCACTTTTTGCAAATACGTACTGCTCCGCGCCTTCAGAGCGGTATATGTGAGAGCTGCCCCACGATCCTGGAGAAGAATACTTCAAGAAAAACTTTCCTACAGGCCTCCTACAGAGCGGTAATCTGAAAAAATAGTGCCCTTCATACCCCTACAAATGATATCGTATTCTGGGATAAGTCTGCCATACAATCCCCCCCCCCCTACAAATCGAATATTGCGGGGAAGCCTTTAAGCTGCTTACAGACGGAAAAATTGCCCTATGGTCCGCCCGCGGACGGTAATTAGTCATTAGAAGGAAATGCCCTATGGGCCGCTTACAGACCCTCATTTTGACAAGACTACACTGTGGGCTGCTTACAGACTGGTATTTTTCAAAAAAGATATTTTCAAAAAAGAACTGCTTAGAATGATCCTACGAGCCGCTTACGGACCTTTTCCAGAAAAGGTTGCCCTTTGGACGCACACAGACCGATATCAAGAAGAAATTGTCCTTCAAATCTTCAAACCAACTTTCAAAAATTGTCCTAAGAGCCGCTCAAAGTCTATTATCGCAAGAAGCAGTCGCTCGCCCTATGTGTAGCACAAGCTGGTATTTTGAAACAACAGAAGCTATGAGCTGCTTGAGACATATCTTTACGTAACTACCATCGATATATTAGAGAATATAAATGCCCTATGCGCCGCTGCAGAGTGGTAGTTATAGAAAGAAAATGCCCTATAGGCCACTAACAGACCGATGTTTTGAGAAGTTACTCACAGTCCCCTACAGACCGAGGTTTACAAGAACCCCCTTCCCCTTCCTCCGTCGTTCCTTTCCCAACAACAAACCCTACTGGAGAAAGAACCGTGCTGAGACTGCTCTAACAAGGGAAGTGTCAGAAGTCGCAGTGGCCTTTTGACATGGGATGGGTACCAGTGGCGTACCCAGGATTTCGGCTCGGGGGGGGGGGCGCGACAAAATTTTTTTTCTAAAGATGGTGCGTGGCGTTAGCCACGCACTCCGAAAAATTTTTTGGGGTGCTTTTCAAAATTTTTCCGGGTCCCCGACTCCTAAAATCTGGAAAAAGGGGGCGTGGCGTCAGCCACGCCCCCGAAAAAAATTTTTTTATAAGGCTAAAATGAATTTTTAAAAAATTTCAAAAATTATTTTAATTATTTACAAGTAAAAACAAGTCACTTGCACATTTTTATGACCCATGTAAGTAACTTTCAAAAATTTCGCGACCCGTTCTCGGGGGGGCGCGCGCCCCCCCCCCCGCCCCCCCCCCTCGGTACGCCACTGATGGGTACCATCTTAAGCAGCTTTAAATGCTGATTCCAAAACAAACTTTCTTAGCTGCAGAACTGATCTGGGTCGCGAGTTATGGGCATTTTAAACATTAAATTTTACACTGTTTGAAGTACTCTGTGATCACGGGAACCTTTCAATTGCTTGTTTAAGCACCACAGCATGACTTTGATGAAGGCGTAGGATTACGTTAAACATTGTTGGACTGTTTCATCTATGTTTGAGCCCGAAAAAATGTTCGCTTTAATTTTTGGCTATTCTCAGCGTTGTAAATTTCCCGCAAATTAAATTCAATAACTCTCGTCCTAGATTAGTTCTGCAGCTAAGAAAGGCTGCTTTGGAATCAGCATTTCAAGCTGCTTCAGATGATACTTATTTCATGTCAAAAGGCCACTGCGAGTTCTGACACTTCCCTTGTAAGACCGATATTCGGAGAAAAGGCTATCTTACCCTCCCCCCTCTTCCTTCCCCCACAGACCGATAATTACAGGAAGCCCTGCCCTATGGGGGATCAGCAGATATTCCAGATTACAGATCTACAGCCCCTACAAACTGTATTGCCCTACGAGGCACTCACGTATAATCTGCTCTATGGACAGCCAAAGACCGAAGTCTTGAGAAAGAAGCTGCCAGCTACTTATTGTTAGAGGCCTACACAATGGTATTTTGAGGAGGAACCGCCCTTGGAACCTATATACAACCAATATTTTGTGATAAAACTGCTCTATGGGCCACCTACAAACCATAATTTGAGAAAGGACTGCCTTATGGGATTTTACAGACCAATATTTCAAGAAAAATTGCTCTATGTGCCGCTGCAAATCGATAATTTCTAAAAGGAGCGGCCGAGCGGGGAGGGGGGGGGGGCTTGCCAACGATAATTTGTAAAGAATCGCTCCATGGGCCTCTTGCAGCATTTTGGGAAATAACCGCTCTATGGGCGCTCACAGACCAATATATCAAGAATTGAGCTGGAAACCCTCAAACCAATATCTCGAAAAAAATTGCAGCCGTTCAAAGACCGATATTTGAGAAAGAGCGCTTTCCGAGTCCCTTATGAATTAGTCTTCTGAGAGAGAAAAAATAATTAGAACAGGTTACAGTATATCTACGCCTCATACAAACCAACTTTCACAAGTAACTCCTCTACGCGCCGCACACAGACCGACAATTTTAGGAGGTGCCCTAGTCGCTTATACATCAGCATTTTGAGAAACAAGTACGAGCCTAAAAAGTGCCTGATGAGAAGCTTATGGAACGATAATTGTATGACGATTCTACGAGCCCTTCCGCTCCTCTTCAAATTCATATCTGAAAAAAAGCGCATTATGGTCCACCTTTAGAACTATAAATATGGAAATGAAATGTTCCCCTTGCGGACCGATACTTTGAGAAGGAACCAACCTACAAATAACCGCTAACTAAATAATTGTCGAAAAAACTCCTCAGGGGAGCTTACAGATCAATATTTTTAGTAGAACTGCCTTACTGGCACCTACAAATCAAGAAAGAGCCCTATGAACAGATTAAGCATTGAAAGATATGCCCAATGAACAGCGAACAGACTGGAGTTGTGAGAAATGATTGCAGAGATTTATAAGAATAGCCTTACGACTTACCCACTTATTTCAAGAACAGAGAACTGTCCTCATCAATTCTCACCAACTATGCCAGCTATGAACTTTAACTAATTATGGGCAGCCAAGAACTTAAGCAGGAAAATGAAAATGTGAGCAGTCGAAGGGTAAACGTTGAGGAACTATTAAAGCATGTCTACGCTAGACAGCGAGTTCCGAATCATTCATACCGGCAGAGTTCAAACTTGCGAAAGAAGGGGGGGGGGTACTGTTAGCAACCTTACGAGAGTGTCGGCCCCTT